GGGTGGTATTAATGTGGCTCAAGTTCAAGAGACAGAAATTCTTCAGATTACAGTTCTACCTCAAAATTAATATTTACTCCAAAATTACAACCGATACAATGGTTCAGAAGTTGGAAAGTTCTCGTTTCTTGAAACAGTAGATTCTGTTTGTGGAGATGTAATTACGGACATACATCAATAGAGCAAAATCAATACTTGTCTATTTATAATATGACATAAATACAAGTAACAATAGAAGTTTTCAAACTGTTTGTACCTTTTTGATATAAAGAATGCTCAATTATTTCTTGAAAGTCAGAACAAGACTTTAAAAAATTCTGCACAACCTGTAACTATTACTATTTGAACAGATTCCATAAAATTTCTGTTGCTACGGGAATCTAGTATATTATGTGTACTATTTTACATGTTTTAAAATATCGAAGAGTGGTAGCAACTTCCACTAATGGCTGAGTATTACAAAATAAAACATTGCTATTGAAAGACAGATATGCGGTGTTTAATTTCCCAGTGTTAAATAAAACAATTGCCCATTTCATTTATACTTAATGGAATTTTAAATAAATTTGTGAAGTGAAACTTTTCAAATTAACACAGCACAGTACAATTGCATTTATTTATTAACTGGAGAAAATTGTCAATCGAATAGTAAGAGTTTGAAATTCAAAAAGTTAAACTGTCCTGCTCATTGTGTTATGTTGCCATGTATATCTTTACGATGTTACCTAGAAGGAGGAAAAACTGAAGGAACTGAACAGCAATAGGTTGATTCTAGGAGCATAAAAAGGAGGTGTCATTATGGATGTAAAAATCAACCCAAATTTCGACATAAATTATGAGTCTCCCTGGATTAGATTCTTATGATGCTTAATACAAAATCTGATGTATCTAAAATGAAATTTTCTGTGCGAAATGCTATATTTATTATTGAAATGTACTATCATATAAAAGTATTATTGTAAAAGCTTTCATAAAAGTAAGTTTAAGAGACAGCAAGTGCAAACTGTGTTAGACCCATGTTCTTCAAGTGTTATCGAGCCTAGAACTATGTAGTACCTGTTGCATATATTTGGTCAAAATACATCCTTCCAAACTTGAAATATCCTGTCCTAAAGGTTGTGATGGATGGACAGGGACAAGCCAATATGCCCCGCTCTGCTTTGCAGTGGGGGCATAATTAAGTTTAAGCTACTAAAAACTAAATTTTGGATTCAACTATCATAAGAAACTACCACAGTGTACTTACTACTGACCAGCTACAATAGCACACTTTAAAACTTAGGCAGAAATGTGGTGAAAATCATGAGAAGTCTTTTGTTTGATCAAATTTTTAGATCAATTTGAAAACCAGGGCACCATCTAATAATAATTTCAAGATAATTTCTTATAAGTTAATCAATTTCTGAATTCACTCCTTTAACTCTTTCGAGACAGGTAACTGTATTCCGAACAGTTAGAAGTCAGTTTCACTCATAGTAGCAATATTGTTCCCATGGGAAAGTTAATGACTAGCTTGGATGTATTGTAACATCTCTTGTCGTATATTTAGAAAGCCAGAAAAGGGAAGTTATCCACTTTTTGAATGTTATTTTTCTATATTCTTTGGCGCTCCCCCTCCTGAATATGTTTATCTGTTGTGTGTCGATCTGGGGGTCTTACCCAGGCAAAGAACAACGACCCCTTAACTCTTTCGAATGGGTGAAAGGCCATGTCATCTCGTTTGTTGACTCGCATTCAAAATTCTATTGAACTACTATTTCATGAATTTATGTC